ATCTAGATGTGGAATGCTTCTGATTTCTACAGCTTCCGGACTCGAGATTGCTAGTTTTGCCAAGGAATCTACTTCTTCGTTACCAGCAATTCCAATATGGGAAGGAATCCATACAAAGTTGACATTTATGTTCATAGTTTGCAGTTGGCTTAATGCTGATTTAATAAGTAGTAGACTTGGATGACTAGGATATAAGTTATTTAGGGCAATTACAGAACTTAGGGAATCCGTAATAATGACAGGGTTTTTGATACTATTTTCTACCACAAAATTTATTGCATTGAGAATAGCAGTTAATTCAGCTGTGTAAATGGATGTTAATTTAGGGAGTTTCATTAATATTTTTGTTTTATTAGACATAAATGCTGCTCCCACTCCATCTATAGTTTTAGAGGCATCGGTATATATAAGTGTATGGTTACTGTATGTCTTGAATTCTTGGAGGACATATTGATATAATGCTTTGGGATGGTTATCTGCTTTTTTATATATGGAGAGTTTGGTATTGATAGATGGGATGGGAACAGTCCAAGGGGGAACAGTGTTAATATCGGGTATACAATAGATATCTTGAAATTTGAATTCAAGTTCATTGAGGTATCTATTTACCCTTTCATAAAAAGGAAGGTCAAGCCTAGCATGAGTTTTAAAGATATTCCTAAAACGGTCTGAATTTACATAGTGATTAACAGGATTCATAGGATTTGCCTGTATTGATGCCGCATATGTTAGTGAAAGTTGTTTTCTTCGGAATTCCAGGGGGACTTCTCCAGCTTCACAGTGTAAACTTTCAGTAGGGCTAGTATAAAAAGCACCTAGTATAGTTCGCAAAGCACTATTTTGTATTCGATCGAGTTGTTTTATGATATATGGTTTTGCTGAATCATAAATAATACAAGCGTAGTCGAGTTTGGACCTGATCAATGACTTGTACATAAGGGTCAGTGTTTTATTATCTGCTCCCCACGTGTTGTGTGCAACAGTTTTTATAATGTTAAGTGCAGATTGACAAGTACTTTTTAGATCATGAATGTGGTGGTTCCAGGATAATCTGTTGTCAAATGTCATGCCTAGACATTTAATTTTCTCAACATATTTTATTTCTTTATTAAATAGTTTTAATTCTGGAGTGATATAACTTCTTTTTTTTGAAAATAGCATAGCCTTTGATTTTGTTGTTGATAATTGAAGACCTGTAGAATTTGTCCATAATTCGAGATTCCATAGCACTTTCTGTAGATGGGTCTGAAGGGTTTTATCATTTATCCCCTTAACAAAAATGATTAAGTCATCTGCAAAGAGTCTAGCTTTTACTGGTAAGTCACAAGTGGAGATAATATTATTTATTGCAATAAGAAATAGGGAGACGCTTAAATTAGATCCTTGAGGAATTCCGTTTTTTTGAATTTTTGTATTAGATAAAGTACCGTTAACTCGTACATTAAAAGTTCGATGAGATAGGAAATTTTTTATGAATTGTGCTATATTACCTTTTATTCCCCATCGACTAAGTGTTTGAACAATACCATGTCGCCAAACTGTATCGTATGCTCTTGTTATGTCAAAAAATATTGCGATACATTTTTGTCCACATGCCACTGCTTCATGAATCTCAGACTCTAAACTAATAAGATTATCTAGTGTTGAACGACTTTTTCGGAATCCGCTTTGTTCCGGGGCAAGTAATTTATTATTTTCTAAAAACCACATTAATCTGTTGGATATGATTTTCTCGAGAACTTTACATATTACTCAAGTTAGAGAAATAGGTCTATATGAATGTGACAGAGATTTTGGTTGATTTTGTTTATAAATAGGGATGACAATAGATGAACTCCAGATTTTTGGAAACTTGCTATATCTCCATATATTATTATAGATATTCAGCAAGTGTTTCTTTGCAGATGAAGGAAGTTTTTGAAGAAATATTGCAGGAATGTTATCAGGACCGGGAGAAGAGTTTTTTGTATTATTGAGTGAGTATTCTAATTCATCCATGGTTATGGGATAATTTAAAGGAGAAAGGTCATCAGGCGGTATATCAATACCTTTGGATTCCTCTTTCTCTTTTTTGGTCAAAAAATCTGGAGGAAGAACATTATCACTTGAGAATCTTTCAAAACTATTAGCTAGAATATTAGCTATGTCTAGAGGGGAAGTGTATATTTTTTGTTTTTCTTCTAAGAAGTTAATGTGGTTTGGGGTATTTTTCCCGGATATCTTTCGTACCATTTGCCATACTTTATTAATTGGTGTAGATGAATTTAATTCTGAAACAAACTTTTTCCATGATTCACGTTTACTTCTTTTAATTATAAATCTAGCTCGTGCTTTTAGTCGTTTGAATTCTAATTTATTTTCAAGTGTATTATATTTCCTGAATCGATTTAATGCTGTTTTTGAAAGTTTAATAGCTTCTTGACATTCAGAATTCCACCAAGGGACTGACGAATTTAATTGTTTAGGATTCATTTTACCAACGGCTTTTTCGGCAGCATTCAATAATACATTGGAAAACTCTTGAATTTGACTATCAATATTATTATTTGATTGTAAAATTTCATGTAATGCATTCATTTCATTTAAAACTAGATTATAATACTCTTGCCAATTTGCATTTTTGATATTCCATTTTTCAACATTACAAGAGTATTGTAGACTGTCAGGATTTGTTATTACAATCGGAAAATGGTCACTATCATTTAAATCAGAAAGTACATCCCAAGATAAGGTAGCTGATAATGCTGGATCACATATTGAAAGGTCTATGGCAGAGGATTTACCAGTAGAAATGTCAAAATGAGTATTTCTTCCATCGTTTAGTAGGTTTAACTGAAAATTGTCCAACATTATTTCGATTCTACGACCTAATGGAGTAATTATTTTTGATCCCCATATGTAATTATGTGCATTAAAATCTCCAACTATTAGACGAGGTGAAGGTATTTGTTTAATCAAGTCTGAGATTTCATTATTGCTTGGGTTTTGTGTAGGTGGGATGTATATATTACATATGTTCATTTTTACAGGCCCTTTGATAGTAATTGCGACCGCTTCAAGTTGTGTATTGATTTGAAGAATGTCTACATCGATGGATGAATGAGTGTAAATTGCTACGCCACCACTAGCATGGTCTACATTTTCTCTATTTTTATATGTGCATGTGTAGTGTTTTAAATTATGAACTTTAGTATTTTTAAAATGAGTTTCCTGTAAACAAAGTATGGATGGAGTAAGTTTTTTAATCATTTGTTGTAATATCTCAAGGCGAGTGTAATATCCTCGTAGGTTCCACTGGATAATTGAGAAAGCCATTATAATATATCTTTTACAATTTCGTTATCGGATTCGGTGTTAGTTTCTGATTGTATGGATTTAAGTATTTTGTTTCGAAGTCTAGTGCATCTATTTTTTGATTTCCTATTTGATAAATTCTCATGTAGTTGATTTAAAAGTTTCAATAGGTTTTCTAGATCATTTGTATACGTTTTTATTAAGCTTACTGGGTCAGGAGTACCATGAGCATTTTCCAGTATATCTACTAATGTTTCATAAGATATTGAATGGTTTACTGAAGTATCTTCATATATTCGTCTAGCTGAATTTTTTATATCGTCAGTTACTTTAATGGTTCCTATGTTTGTGATTGAAGACTTTGGCTTTTTTAATTTAGGGTCTGGAAAGGGGTTATTTACTGGAGTATCATTTGGTGGAGGGGTTATAATTTCAGAGCGATTTCGTTTGTTTGAGGGAGGATCGTGGGACATTTGTTGAAAATCAGTGCTTTCTTTAACATGAGTAGATGGTAAAATATGGATATCCGGTTTAGTCGATAGTATAGGAGCCGAGGAAGATATGTTTTGCGTTAGGGGAATGTATTCATTGTCTATTGGATCAGTTGAAGTAGTTGGAGCAGCATTTTGTGCTTGAGATGTTTGAGTTTCTTTAGTAGTTGGGCAATTTCCAGCCGAATGTCCCGCTTGCCTACAATTAGTACATAGATCCTTCTCCATTACAAGAAATATACGATATGATGTCATTTCGTAATTCACAATTATTGAGTCGGGTATTGATGAGACTGGGGGAGAAATAAAAGTATGCCTTCTGAAACTGAAAATGTGTTTGTAATTAGGATTTGATGTACCAATTTTTAAAAAATTTATTGGAGTTACCAAAGTTAATCCCAAATTAGACAGTGCATTTTCAATAATTGAATGTGGGATTGAAGGACAAACATTTGATATCAATAATCTTTCATTTGGTGACATTAATTTACGAGCCTGAATTTTTTGATGGTTTACAGTTATTATCCCTTTGTTAATTTGTAGAAAATTGTTAACTAAAGTTTCGCTTGTTAGATAAATGCAAATTCGACCATTTGACATTCTAGAGGAGAAGAGAATATTTTTTGGATGCATTAAATCACCAACTGCAAATAGATAGTCTTCCAACTTTGTATTTTCCAACGCAGGAAAAACTATTGCTTGTGTTTTGGATGGAAATTTAGGTACATTTTGATTTGTGACAGTTGCAAAAGATTGTTTCATATTTGTATTTGATGAACTTTGCTCCAGTTCTTGTTCAGGGTCCCCAAGAGGCGGAAAATTATCCATTTTTAATTATTATCATCGATAATTCTCAAAGACCCAGTCCGGTCCTGTCCCCTCGATATCAGAACTGATAAACGGTAGCAGTAAAAAGTTGTTGCTTTATAACCAAAATTGATTCTTGTTTACGTGGATTTAACTTAAATGTTAATTATTTAGATTAAATAAATATGTGTACTCACAGATTTTATACTTGTGGTGAGAAAAATCACTTAGATTCACTTTTTAAGTAAAACTGTAATTAGTTTGATGCTTTTTAACACCTAAAAACTGGATTTATGTGGAGCTTGTTTTAAACCTCGTTTGACTTCAGAGGTCAATCGATCAATCCAGATACATATTTCAAACCATATTTGAAACATTTTTGTAAAGTTAGATTATCGTATTTCTTACCTGATGCTCCTCCCCATAAATTTTTGTAAGGTTCGAATTCCTTCATAAGTCTGATGAGGTTGTCCCACGGTACAACAGGAACCCCAAAGAGTTTTTGCCTTTGATTTAGCAATTGACCTTGTTCTTGGGCTTCTTTCATAGATTTCCACAGTTTTCGCATGTTTAAGGCTATATCGCTAGTCTGTCAATTAGAAAAAAAATAGATAGATTTCACATAAAAACTAATTGATAAAATAAACAAAAGGAAGTTAAATATAATTGGAATATATATCTGGAGTGTCGCCAAGCAGAAAGAGGAAAACAAGTTTAACCCGGCGACGGTATTGTGGGGTATCACATATACCCCACGAGAATTTAAAACGCCCGCGTTTGCGCAACTTCAAACATCAAACAGTTAAACCCCGCCTACCTTCGAGTTAGGTTATAATATTGTCTTCAGCAGTTTGTTCGCGACCATCGATTGAAGCAGTAGTAAAATATTTTCGTGTAAACAGCGTTGGGGTGTTGTATACCCCACCATACCGGTAGTGTTATATATTTTTTAAGGTAATGTATTGAAATTTATTGTATATTTGCAGGGTTTTAGTGATATTTTATTACAGAATGTCTTATGAACAAGAACAAAGAAGGCTCCTGCAATTGTGGGAAGAATCGCAAGATGAACACGCTATTGGTTCAGAATCTGAGGGAGAACTTCCCGATCATATCAGCGAAAATTCAATGTCAGAATCGTGATGGAAAAACTAAGTGGTCAAAATCTTGTGATAACCTCAAAGTACGCGAGAATATCGTAAGCCATCTTCCGGGACCAAAGGGCGTTGCTCGAAATGCGAAAACTCCTCTTGAGTGTTTTAATTTATTTTTGAACGATATGATGTTGGCAGATATTGTAAAGTATACGAATCTGAATATGGGTCAGAAAGCAACAACTTATAACAAGAATATGCAATACCTCGTAAAACCAACAACAATACAAGAAATGAAGGCGGTGCTTGGACTCCTGTATTTGGCTGGTGTATTTCGTGCCAATAGGATGAATTTAGAAGATTTATGGAGTATTGATGGCTTAGGCGTAGATATTTTTAGAACAACCATGTCACCGAAACGTTTTATGTTCATTATATCTTCCATGCGATTTGATAATAAAGAGTCCAGAAATGATAGACGCTAGTTATATAAATTTGCCCCTTTTCGAGTAATGTTTGATCTTTTTACCGAAAATGACAAAGCTTACTACATTCCTGGGGAATACGTCACTATAGACGAAAAACTGGAGTCCTTTCGCGGGCGATGCCCGTTCAAGCAATACATGCCAAATAAACCGGCAAAATACGGCTGGAAAATGTTTGCCGTTGTAGATGCGAGAACATTTTACCTGTTTAATATGAAGGCGTACCTCGGAAAACAACCCGAAGGTCCGTTTCAAATAAGTAACAAACCAGAAGACATTGTTGTTAGAATAATAGCACCCATAAGTGGCACTGCCAGAAACGTTACTTTTGACAATTGGTTTGCCAGTTGTCCTCTGCTATACATATTACTAAAAGAGCATCGATTGACAGCTGTCTGCACCTTACGTAAAAATAAAAGGGAGCTTCCTCCTGCTTTTGTTCAGACAAAGAAGAGACCTGAACGAAGTTCACTCTTCGGTTTTACGCATGATGTAAAATTGCTGTCATACATCCCTCGGAGAGGAAAGAATGTTTTACTTCTTTCTTCCCTTAAATCATGATGACAAAATAGATCCAGCCACTGGCGAAGCTGAAAAACCAGAAATGATTAGTTTTTACAACTTCACTAAAGGAGGAGTAAACGTGGTGGACAAGCTTAGTGGTACCTATAGTGTGAGTATGTTTTATTCATTGCTGAATACCGCTGGAATTAATGCTATGGTAATTTTTAATGGAAACAATCCTGTGGATAAACGAATGAACCGACGTTTTTTCGTGAAAGAGTTGGGACTATCTTTGATTACAGACCACCTTCATGAGAGGAAAGAAAATTCAAAATTACCCAGAGTGTTGAGAAAGAAAATAATAACATCATCAAAGAAGCGCAAGAACGAAGATGAACCTCAGCCATCAACGTCGAAAAAAAGAAAAGGAATGGGAAGATGTTGTATCTGTCCACGGTCAAAAGATAGAAAATCTCATCTAACTTGTTCTGCTTGTGAGCAGTGGGTTTGCATGGAACATTCAGAGCAAATATGTATCAAATGTAAAATAAGTGACGCAGATTAGATTTAGATAATATTAGAGTTTTTATGTTACAAGCAGCTTTTATATACGTTTAGTGTCCAAGTTAAGATTACTCTAGTATTATCGGTAAATTTTTATCATATTCTGATATGTTTTGTAATACTAAATCTCCTTTCATGCTCAACTTTGTTTTAATAATATAAATAATACATTGATTCAGGTAATTTTGTAGTATATAAAAGAATATAATAAATATTCAAACAGGGTATCTCATACCTCACCATACCATACATGTTGTAATTTTCGACCATACTGGCGCCGGGTTAAATATGTTGGAATCAGAAAGTTAAAATCATTAGAAGGAAAGATAGTCTGTTCTACAGACTTCTTAGATATAGCTAAGGCTTTTGACAAAATACGGCATAAAGGTTTAATCTACAAACTCAAAAATGTTATTCCTAAAATATGTTTAGAAATTTTGTAGTCTTACATATATGATAGATATTGCAGAATTAAGCAAAAAGTTGTGTACACAGATCTCAAAGAAATCAATGCAAGAGTCTCTCAAGGAAGCGTATTAGGTCCGATCCTCTACCTGTATAAACATAAAACTGAACTAAAAAAATGTTACTATAACCACCTTTTCAGATGATACTGCTATCTTTGCAGTAGGTGATAAAAGTGAACAAGCAGCCGAAAAATTACAGTTGCCAATAAATAAAATCCAAAATTTGACAAAAAAAATAGAAAATCAAACTAAATAAATTCAAATCAATTCACGTTAATTTTACAAACAAAAAAATCGAAAGCATTTTAATTAAAATAAATAATGAAATTGTCTCAATGCAGTGACCAGTTTATACCTAGGATCGTAGTAGAACTAAGGCAAGATTGACCCTTGAAATGGAGACCATAAAATATTTATTTGAAAAGGCACGCAAGTTTAATTATATTTTATAGACTTGTAAATCATGAGTGTTTAGTATCGACCATAGCTAAGTATATAGTATGTGCAACCCTTTTAAGTTATTCCATTATAAATCTCCCGTCCATTCTTTTAATTTGTATTGAAAATAGTCTATTGTACTGGAAATTAAGAAGGCGGGAACATCGGTCTACAATTTTTTTAACTTAATTGAGTGATATCTGAGGCTCTAGGAGGAAAATCTGCTAAGTTTAAAGGGGAACTTACATGATGAAGTAAAAAGGATTTACTTAATTCTTGACACCATGAAGTATAAATGGATTCAATGTAAATTTATTCGTTAAAATTCATGTTAAAACGATGAGACTATCTTAAAATATGTTAACTTATAAAATATTGTGACGTTTTTTGAAAGCACCCCAAATACTTTACAAGTAGCATAGATGCTCTGAGAGGCATCAGTAAAATAATGTAATTGTTTAAATTGTAATAAATAATCTATCAACAGAGTGTAAATGTGAATAATTATAGTATTGAGGTCTCTGACATAATTAATAGTGTTTTAAAGATGCCTTGAAAATTATCGCTTGGACCAGATTGTTTGCCAGCTTATGTTCTCAAGCATTGCATTTTTACTTTTGTAAAACCTATTTGCTACTTATTTAATTCTTCATTGAGTACCGGCATTTTTCCTGATATTTGGAAGACTAGTTATTTAACACCAATTTTCAAGTCTGGTAATAAAAATGATGTTGAAAATTATCGAGCGGTTTGTAACCAATCTGTATTACCCAAACTTTTTGAGAGTCTTGTAAATTACTTTTTTACATGGAATTGTAAAGATTTAATTGATGTTAGACAGCATGGCTTTTCTAAAGGTAAGTCTACATGCACGAACTTAATATTGTATACGAATTTTATAGCTAATTCAGTGAAACAGAAGAGTCAGGTTGACGCTATCTACACAGACTTCTCAAAAGCCTTCGATAGAGTTAACCATGATCTGCTTATTGCTAAATTGAATGGCTAGGGATTTGGAGGTAAAATAATTGAGTGGATAGGTAGTTATATATCTGGTAGATGTCAGTATGTTAAATATGGAAATTGTTTATCTCAACGAGTATCTGTAACCTCAGGAGTTCCTCAGGGGTCTCATATTGAGCCTCTCTTATTTAATATATTTGTTAATGATATATCCTCAGTGATTAAAAATAGTAAATTTCTAATGTTTGCTGATGACCTTAAAATATCTCGAATAGTTAATGACCTAGTTGATGCCTCTTTGTGACAGAATGACATTAAAAGCTTAGCTAGTTGGTGTGAGGTAAACATGATATACTTAAATATACAAAAATGTTTTAAAATTACTTTTGGGGGATCAAGAGTGAGTTATCAAGTTGTTTCTAATTATGATGATTGTATAAATAATGTACGTTTAGAGGCACGTCATAATATTAAAGATTTAGGTATAAATTTTGATTCTAAACTAACTTTTAAATATCACATTAACGAAACTTCAGCTAAAGCTTTAAAAATGTTGGGATTTGTTCTTAGAAACTGTAATCAGTTTTCAGTACAAACTCTAAAAATGTTATACTTTAGTTTAGTTCGATCAGTTTTGGAGTATGGTTCTCTCATTTGGTCTCCTTTATATAACAGTGACATCTACAGTATCGAGAGAGTTCAAAATAAATTCTTGAGGGCATGTGCTTACAAAATTGGTTTTATTAGACAGCAATATACATATGATGATATACTGTCAATACTAAATATCTCATCACTACATGATAGAAGATGTCAAGCGGATTTATGTTTCCTTTTTAAAATTGTAAATGGATATGTTCAAGATCCAGAGTTACTAAGTTTAATAAGTTTTAATGTTAATACTAGAAGAACTCGTAATACTGAGATTTTCAACATTCCATTCCACACTACGAATTATGGCCAAAATGAACCCATTACAAGAATTTTACGAACTGCCAATGAGCACAGCATTAGTTTAGAGTTATTTGGAATATCTACAGCAACATTTAAAAAATCATTTTAGAGATTTTGAGCATTATTTAATAACTTAAGCTACTACTTTAAATGAATTTTGAATTTTATTTGATTTTAATTTTGGTTTGTCTTTTTATTAACGCAACTTATGTATAAGCTTTGTAAAGGTTGACGTCATATTTCTGTAAAAATGGTATATCCGTTAATTAAATAAATAAGTAATTATTTTATATCCGATATAGGCAGTGGGAGTGTCAGGCACCTAGGTAATGTAATTTTAGATATTGATTGGAATGTATCCAATAACGATTTCCAATCCGAGATCTAGTATTTCACTGTCCCAGTCAAGAGCAATGACCACCAATATAGAGTGTAGTCTAATGGGTGACAGTAATCCTAAGGGGTTATACATTCATATGCATACAAACATATAACAATACGTTTATTTTTGTTAGGGAAAGAGTCTCTTCATAAATTAAGAAGGAGGTACCAGTTACAAGAAAATGTATTGGCTAATTGGACTTGGTTATATAGACATGGTTGTTAACCCTGGGGCTGTGCCAGTTCAAGTAATATTCAGATTATCCAGATTTTCTGGTACTTTTTCGCTAATGTTACTGTACGGCTAAGATCTAGTGGGGCAATATTCTCAAAATAAATGCCATCTCACTGACATTGATTTTATTGTTCCAGGAAATATTCTTATAGTTTTATTAACTTGTACATCGGTTTTGTTTATATGTGCCCTATTTAGCGATACTGATGCACAATTTTCTGGCACTGAAAAAACCAAAGCTATCGCAGATACGAAGTATATCTGCAAAAGCACCCCAAGTTGTTCCAGTAAATTCTGTTATTACATTGTTTCTTGTTTTCGCTTTACCAGGTGCGTTTTTAAGATGACTTTTAAATGTTTGTGTTCTATCAAGTGTGACGCCTAGATATTTAGAGTAAAAGAGACAGGTTTTAGTTTTGCTTGTGCTAGGGCATAAGTAAGTACTTAGTTTTTTTTTTAAATGCACATTTACAATCTACTCATAAACAGTACATTGAGTAATTAGTAAATGTGATGATAATATTGTATTCACCTATGTGACCAGGTCTTCTGGCCAACACCTCTTTAGTCTTTGATCCTCCATTGGTGGCTAATATAATTTACTGACAATTTAGCTCTGGTTAGAATACTGGCATAATATGACATATTTTACAGTTGGTGCTCCTAGGTTATTGTGGATGGCTGCATTGCTCACATACTAAGAGGCGTTAGCTATCATACGCAATGTTTTTGATTGAAAGTTCAGCAAAATTTTTGTGTTTAAAGTTTGCTACAGACCTACAGTTCTACTCCGTAAGCCCATATTGGCTTTAGTATGACTTTTTAAAGCAGTATTTTGTTCTCCAATGACAGTTGTGACTTTCTGCCAAGTAACCAATTCATTTGTTTTAATTTTATATTGAGCTCAGTTTTTTGGTGTTAATCTGTTGCTTCCAGGTGAGCTTTTAGTCCAAATGCAAACTTAAAAATATTTCACTACATCTCCAGCAGAAATGGGGGCGTTGCTTAGACTAACTTGTGGACAGGTGCATCTTCTAGTTGTAAATGTGATTTGGACTGATTTTTCAATGTTGATTTTAATTTCCCATTTTGTCAACCAATTCTCTAATATATGCAAGTAATTTTGCAGCTATTCAGATATTGTTTCTGGGTCTTTGTTTGAAACTAAAACAGCTGTATCAGTTGCCACCATAACGTCATTTGAAATAAGTATGTCAACAGTAAAAGATGGATAGATGACATAGAAAGGGATCTTAAAACCATGAACATCAAACAGTGGCGAAGGAAAATATCCGACAAGGCAGAATGGAAGAACATTGTTAAGCAGGCCAAGACCCACAAAGGGCTGTAGCGCCATTAGAAGTAGAAGAAGATGATATCAACAGTAAGGATTATATACAGGAAGGGATCAAGAATACTAGCCTCAGACATTCGGGATTGGATTGAGTGATAGGTTGAGAAATCATTATTGATTTTTAGTTGAAAAAAATGTTCGTTAATATAAGACTTTCGGATAAAGTACATATTGCTTGGCAGTAAAGTTTAGCAAACTTTTGTGCTAGACTTTATTAAAAACCTGCTGAATATCGAAAAATATTGAGGCACACATAATCTTTTCTTCCAAACTTTTCTTGATTTTGTTTACTATTCTGTGATACTGTTGGGTTGTTGAATATTTTTGACTAAAACCAAACTGATGCTTGGGTATTATGTTCTCGGGTGGTACAGTTTCGCTTATTTTATTTAGTAGGAGTCTTTTAAATAATATCTTAACATCAACGGTAACAAGCTTATCGGACGATGGGAAGAAGATTATGTAAGCAATTTACCTGGCTTACCAATCAATATAATGAGCATATTTTCACTGGATTGGAAAATGTCTTAACTTCAGCATTCTATTGTGAATAAAGTATGAGAACTGCTTCCTTAAGTTGCTGAGAGCATGAGATGTTTTGGGATTTTCCCATCGATTAAATACTATCCTGGGGCTTTGTGAGAGTTGTTACTCATTATTATTTTGTGAACCTCAACTGGAGAGAATGCTTTTATTGGAGGTGATAGTTAACAGGGTGCATTTAGATATTCGCCTATCAAGATAATGCATTTTTTACATCGTATTGAAACAAGCTTGGTCCCTACTGTGGAAACTCGGAAGTAGCAACCCACCCGTTCGCCAAACCAACCTAGTAGGTAACTCCAGACTAAATAGCTACGCACATAGTGTCAACCTCTAGTTACAATACAATTAAAGTTTAAAAGACCTCAAAACCATAAAATCTAGTCTTGCACACTCAACAGAATATTCCAACCCATTTACACATGAAAATATATCGCAAGCCCTAAATGAAATGAAAACAGGAAAAGCGCCGGGTTTGGACGCTACTCACGCTGAGTTCCTCAAACATAGCGGCAGATTCACTAAGCAATGGCTCGCAGAATTCTTCTCTAACATCCTTCAAACGGGAAACGTCCCCCACCAACTCAAAAATCGTCACCATTTTAAAACCAGGGAAAAGTGGTAATTCATAGAAAAACTACCGCCCCGTCGCAATCTTAAGTATGGTGTACTAATTGTTCGAAAGACTGTTGTATAATAGAATCAGCAAAACCATATTCCAGCACTTACCAGTGGAATAGGCAGGATTTCGGCCAAACCGCAGCTGCACAGACCAGGTACTCGCCCTGACCAATTATGTGGAATCAAACTTTCAAAAGCAATTAAAAACAACCGCTGTCTTCATCGATCTATCTGCGGCTTACGACAATGTGTAGCGACAAGGGGCAATATATAAATTAATGCGAATAATCCCATGCAGAAAGATCACTGAGGTTATTAACGCTATGCTATCCAACAGATGCTTTTAAGTTATATTGGGAGACAAGACTAGTACCCAAAGAAAACTGAATAATAGACTTCCACATGGATCAGTGCTGGCTCCCATGCTTTTCAGCCTCTACATAGCAGACATGCCAGAAACCACATCAAAAAAGTTTGGATACGCAGACGACTGGACGCTTGCCGCAAGTCATAAAGAATTCGAGGTCACTAAACGCATTCTAACAAACGATTTAAATGCCCTACGGAATTATTTCTGCAAATGGAGATTGCAACCCAATCCAACTAAGACAGAAGTGTCCTGCTTCAATTTGTACAACAAGATGGCCAACTATTAACGTCAAATCCATTTTGAGGATAGACTCCTTAACTATAATAAACACCCAAAATACTTAGGTGTTACACTTGACAGAACGCTAAACTAAAGAGCATCTTACTAAGACTGCTGCAAAACTCCGAACTCGTAACAACATCCTGCAGAAGCTCTGAGGCACTACAGGGGGCTCCTCAGCACCCACACTTAGATCGACAGCATTAGAACTGGTATACCCTGTAGCGGAATACTGTGCACCAGTATGGATAAACAGTCCACATACTCACCGTGTTGATGTCCAACTCAACCAAGCCATGCGAACTATATCGGGGACAATCAAGGCCACGCCCACTTACTGCTTACCAGCTTTGAGTCATATAGCTCAACCACCCATCCGCCGTGAACATGCCCTTGTCAGAGAATTTACAAAAATCAATACTGATCCTGAGCTCCGCTCCCATGTCGGAACTTCCGCCAGAGACATAAATAGGCTCCGTTCAAGACACGCGCCTCTAAAAACAGCAAAAGGCTAGTAGATCAAACCTTTAATGTAACTGAACGGTGGAGAGAACAATGGGAGAATAACGCTGAACCAGCTAACTGGAACATGCGATGTATTTCAAGCAAACCTGAGGGCTTCAACTAACCGAGACGAATTTGGACCACACTCAATAGAATAAGGACGAACTGTGGCAGATGTTCCGACTCACTTTTTGGATGGGGAAAAATACAATCACCAAATTGCGACTGCGACGCCGAAAGGCAAACAGTAAAACACATGGTAGAGGAATGCCCGATTAGATCCTATAACGGCAACCCTTCGGATTTCCTGGCTGCTACAAAAGAGTTAATCGAATATATTTATAATCTAGATGTTTGTTTGTAGAATAATATTTTTATATTTATATATGAACCTGTGATGTAGCCATACACTAACATAAATAAATAACCGTATTGCAGGTGTATATTAAATTTTTGAATAAATAAGTCCAGAGTAGATGGGTAACAAAATTTTCATGGCTTCTTGATACAGACAAATAAGTTATGAATAATCATAAACATTTTTTTACCCTCGCAAAATCTCTTAGCTGGGACATGGCCACAACTTGTGCTGTCAATGTGTCGATTCTATCTTGGAGAGAAAACTCATCGGTGAGCTGTATTTTATAGAATCGCTCCTCTTCCTCTTTCAAGAAGATTTCTGTAGCTTCGGCTTCTTGCTGTACTTTTAAAGGCCATCCTACAGCAATCCATTTGTTGGCAAAATCTTCGTTTTGTAAAGAATACCAGAATATGTCTAATATTTCATATTCCTGAAAATAATATAATAATAAGTTAGTAAATTTTTATATTAGACTTTTTTATCTAAAACTAGCAATCTATCTATATAAAAGTCTATGATGACAAGCCATACCGTTTGTCCAGTAAACTAACGAACTTTTAACTTACCATAACATATCTCCTTGTAGTTTCTTCTAGCTGCTTTAATGTCATCGGGATGGTTTCTATCCAATCCCTCATCTCATAGACTCGTTCAATACTATCTGGTTTTTCTTTAAGTCTATTCACAATATTATTAAATTCACGAAGAATCTAGAAATAATATGGAAAGCGATAAAATTTTATTAACTTAAGATACCTAATATAACTAAATTTAAGTCAAATTTTATACCAAAAATGGACCTACTACTATCTATTAAATGTAGAGGAAGTGTGCCAAATATGGAAAATGCCCCCATTGTAGAATATCCTAATGTTGAACAAACTAAAATTGGCAACAGTGGAACGAAATCACAAGCGTGTAGCCCATGGTACAATGAACACATTGTACCATGGTGTAGCCAGTGCTTGTCATGCCTGTAGACAGTCACGTTAAACCGTTGAAAGTAGCATGTGTAATTTCGTAGTTATATTTGTTTTTACGTCAGCTCGAAAATTATTTAAGAATGGTATCAAGAAACCACCTTTAATTTATTTAGAGCCGCCGTGAATAAGGTTATTATTGCCAATATAATCGCCAACGTTCGATAATCGAACAGGGCACTGAAAGAAGAAGATGTATTCTACATTTTTATACACATACTTAAAATAAGCATAGAAATATCCGATTATGTCTTGTATGTTTGAAAGGCCCAAATTTAATTTTCCGATATTATAATTTAATATTAACCTGTTGCAAATACTTTAATTTGGCCAAAGAAAAAAAAGATGGCCATGTACCTTATATTTAATACTATACTGTCCCTATGATGGAATATTCCATATTAGGTACAGTTAATTTTTAAAGGTTTTAAGAAGTAAATCTACATAGAAATTCTGGTAATAAATACTGCCTAAATTAATTATTAATATTTTTTAGAGTAATTAGGTCGTAATAAATGGAGAAAAGAAGATATGGTACGTGCCATCCAAGCACTATACTATTTCGTTTTACAGCTAAGACGAATGCTATACCGGTCCAGGCTGTTGAAACAAAATTAGGAAGATCTGCAGTCCTAACACAAAACTTAGTAAATCAGTTGGTAGACTATCTATTTTAATGGAAAAAAAGTTTTACGGGTTAACAAGAAATGATGTTAAAAGTTTGGCTCATCAGCTGGCTACTGTTAATAAAATACCCAATCCATTTTTAAAAGAAAGGGAAAGTGCCGGAAGAAAATGGTTGAATTCATTCCTGAAACGACACAAGGATAGAATTTCTGTCAGAAAGCCAACTGGAACGTCCATCCATACAGCCAAAAGCTTTATTAACGAAAAAGTGACAGATTTATTTGATATTTTGAAGGCAACATTTGAAAATTATATTTATTCAGCTGATAGAGTATTTAACGTGGATGAGTGCAGGATTCGTTCTTTGTACTCCCGGCGATAGTTACCGAGGTACTTTTAAAATGCCCTCTCGCCGCCGAGTCTACGCCGAACGCCTACCTGCTAAACCAGACCCTTCTCTGTCATCCAGCGATCTGAAAGCGGAATGGCTGCTGTAAGGCCGGCATCACTTCCGAAGCACTACCGTTATTCATTCATTCTCCATTCATACACATCCACACTCTATTTATCAGCAAGGAGGCTCCCTGTCTCGTTCTAGGTAGCGCGTAGAAGACACTCATTGCTCCTAGTTCGGCATCATTTCCAGACGGGCATTTCCTCCTTCCTCACACTCTAACCTTTGCCATTGGTCCAGCTGTCTTTTTTCCTCTTCCTTTTTCTTGATCACTGCACGGCTATAGCTGTGTATGTTAGTTCAACCTAATTTATTTTCAATCATTCTCTCAGTCATTTCTCTCACTGTAACAAAATTCACACCTGTCTCTCTCTACAATCTGTTCCTTTCCACTTTCCATCTGCTGCAATCTAACATCGTATGTGTCACAGTGTCCGAGTATCCACAGTATAGGCATTCATCTGTATCAGCTTTTCCGGTCCTATAGAGGTAGAGGTACGCCCTAAAACACCCGTGTCCCGTGGCCATAGTCCACCCAATTTCTTACGTTCGGGATCAGCATTATCGTCCACTGTGCCACATTCTCCGTGTTGTTCCATTCTTCTTGCCATATGTCAACTGACCAGATCAACAATGTCTTATCAATAATTATCTTATTCACAAAGTGGATGAGACTGGATTAAGTATTGTTCAGTCTAAAGTTTAATACGTTATTGGGCTTAGAGGTTTAAAGCAGGTAGGATAATTAACTTCTGCAGAAAGAGATTCTTTAGTTACAGCAATAGAAAAGGGTACTCCTCCTGATTTAAAAATTGTGTGTCATCCAAGTGGATGAATTTAAACCAATATTTTTAGGCAGTGGTTCCTACGTTTTATTGAAAAAGTGAAACCATCACAAAACGATCCAGTGTTGCTAGTATTAGTCGAAATTGTAGTATTAGTCGCATTGTCGAAATTTAGAAATGATAAATTTGGCAAGGGAAAATTTTATTGACATAGTGTGCTTGCCCCCTCATTCTACATACCACATGCAGCCCTTAGATAAAACGTTAATGGGACCCTTAAAAACCCATTAAAGTGAGATGGAACCATTCAGGGGTTCATTGCTGAACTATTTGGAAAGGCGTGTCTTAAGGTGCAAAGTGGGAGAATTGTCGTTAATGGAATCAGAAAGACCGGGATATTTCCGGAATTAATCTACTTAGTATCGTCTCCAAAATATATGAAACCATCCTTGAAAAGAAATTAAGACACATCATTGAACCACATCTGAATGAAGTACAAAGTTTGTTTCGGAAGGGACACAGTACGCAAGACCATATATTTACGTTGAAACAAATAATTGAGAAAGCTAGAATAAAGAACACAAAAATATATATGGCTTTTCTAGATATTGAGAAAGCAATTGACAGAGTGTCCCAGGAAGCAGTTTGGAAAAGTCTGCAAAATAGAAATATTGACCATCAACTAATAGGTGTTATCAAAAGTCTGTATCAAAATAACAAGAGGTATGTACGTAAGGATAACTTTGAATCAGAGAGTTTGCAATAAACGAGGGTCTAAGAGAAGGAGGCGTTATGAGCCCCACATTGTTCATATTGATTATTGACGACATAATTAAGGAAACAAAAGCAAGTATACACTAAGTTTATATCGGATATAGTAAACTGCGACTGGTTGGTATAGCTGAGTGTGCATTCGCAGATGATCTCATGTTATGCACTTCCAACGAAAGGGACCTCCAGAAAAATATAGATAGCTGGAATAATGAGCTGGCAATTAGAAACATAAAGATTAATGTTAAGAAAACCAAGGTGATGCTAATAGCAAAAACTAACCGAAATGTTAACATAGAAATTACTCACAACTCATAGAACAAGTAGATGCATTCAAATATCTAGGGGTTAGAATAGACAGAGAAGGTACCATGCAGAATCAAATAACAGAAAGAATAAGTAGTGCTTCAAAAGTGTACCATAATCTTAGTAGAGCATTCATAGGTAAACTAAAAATCAGCAAAAGAACCAAAATGTCAGTTTGTAAGACAGTATTCCGATCTATCTTGATATATGGAAGAGAGAACTGGATTTTAACAAAGCAATTAAAAAGCAAGATACAAGCCAGATTTTGAAAAGTAGAGGAATTGAATTATCAGAAACTCAAAATAAGGCAAAAAACAAAAAAAATGGGCAAAGTTCGTGCACAGAATAAAATAAAAAAACAAGAATTCTGTATTTTCATTGGATTTGAGATGTAATGTATATCTGTAAACAGTATTTGTATTTACCTCACACCTTAGGGGTAGAGAGGTGTTTTATATATATATATATATATATATATATATATATATATATATATATATATATATATATATATATAATATTTCAATGCCACAAAATAGTAAAAAACTAAAAGATACACTTCGCGGACTCACCACAATTTGAAAATGAAAGACTTAGGTTATACTTCTGTTAACAGGTTCACAGCCAACTAGTGCAAAAAATATTCATTTAATTTTTATGACCAAAAAAATTCAAATCGGTTTTTCTAAAAAACGGTGTATCCTATAGACTTAAAGTGGGAGTACCTTTTAGTACTAGAATACCTGAAACTTTAATAATCTAGTTTTCCGAATGTTTAAAAGGTGTAGACGAAATTGTTATGCGTTAAAATAACCGTTAACCTACCCAAAAGCGGTCAGTACCGATCATACGCCTATGATCGCTACAAGAAATTGACAGTTGATGAAATTGATTCAACTCTTGAGGATAAATAATCGAATCAGTTTTGGTTTTTCTAAATAGAAACGTTCTGAAGGAATTTAAAAAAACTAATTAAAATGCCCCATCTCCAAAGAGCTCTAGCTCCCTTAGTAAACATGAATCATTTATCCCTATGTGAATTAAGTTAAATTTTCTTAAAATTGAAAAAAAAAATAAAATTAAACTGATTATTAATAAAATTATTAAAATTATATTATTAAATAAATTAGCTATTTTTTGACAAACGAAACTGTACAATGAGGTTTTATAATACACTGATATTTTTGTTAGACAATAATTTTTAAATAAAAAATAATACACGAATACAAAAATGAATGAATACATTGAGTAAGCCTTCCTCTACTTCTTGATAGTAGAATATTAACATAAAAAAACTTACTTCCTCTATATTTTCTTTCATTCTTTCGGCAAACGCATCGAGTAGTTTAATTATTATATCTTGTCTTTTATTAATCAAAATATTTCTTAGATAGTCTACCGAAACATGGAACGGCCCTATGAAAATGATAATGGGAAGAGTAGATTCCAGACTGGACTTAAGACGGACTTGCTTGGCAACTTCTTCTTTTACTTCAAAAGCTGAATGTTGTTCTTGCCTGTACGTCCTAAAACATTAAAAATATGAATATAAAAATATGAGGGTAGTGTTGTGTACAACTCAAAACTAAAATTTAATGCCATAGATTTTAAAGATTAGATTTTAGTTATGGACTCCATAATAGCTGGTTAATGAAAGTGATAAATTGTATTGATCTCATGAGAATCATAAAAATAAAAATATCGCGCCATATTTATTTGTTTTACACCTTTATAAAAACTGAACTTATTTGCAGTAAAATACAAAAATAACACAAAAGCTGCACTCTTTATATTTTAAATTCATCTTGATTTTAAGCGTTATTATTTATTTATCGTATGGCAATTACAACACATTTAGAACAAAATTACAAACACTAGTAATATAGATATATGACAAACTTTAAATAATTACAAACAAACATCAAGTGTATTAACATAATCAATTGACTCTGAAGTTGCAAACAGGAAATCTTCAGGGCTACCGTTATAGGATCTTGAGGGACACTCTTCAATAATGTGGTCGATCGTTTGGTCCTTTCCACAGTCACATTGAGGAGACGGATTCTTTCCCCATTTATGTAGCATGTATGCACATCTGCCATGTCTGGTTCGGATCCTGTTTAGAGTGGACCATGTTTTACGTGGAAGATCAAAACCTGGTGGCTTGTGGGTAATACAGGGCATGTTATTTTGCCATGCATTTCGTGCATCCTCGGTATCTTGGTGGATCGGCAGGTTTATATTGTTCATGATCTTTTTGTATTCACGTGTAAGTGCGTCATCTCGTCGTAAATGTGAAGGTGGAATGTGACTTAATAATAGAAGCCATTGGGTGAGAGTTGATTTAATTGTACCAGCTATCATCCTCATAGTGCTGTGCAGCTGAGTGTCGACCTTTTTTACGTGTGGACTGTGTAGCCAAACTGGGGCACAATATTCAGCGGTCGAGAAAACAAGGGCTAAAGCAGTAGAGCGGAGAGTGGAAGCCGATGCTCCCCAGGTGGTACCGGAGAGCTTCTGTATAATGCTATTTCTTGTACTCAACTTTTGGGCAGTTTTTGTTAAATGCTCTTTAAATGATAGCGTTCTGTCTAGTGTTACGCCCAGGTACTTCGGTGTTTTGTTGTGGGAAAGTGTGGTATTTTCAAACCGTATGTTGAGTTCCTTTCCAGCAAGTTTATTGTTCAGGTGAAAGCAACTTACTTCTGTTTTGGATGCATTTGGTTGAAGCCGCCACTTGCGAAAATATTTGTTCAATATATATAAGTCTGCCGTCAGATATAAGTCTTCTTCAGATGTTTCTAGTGTTCTGCATCGTGTAGTGGGGACCCAGTCATCGGCGTATCCGAACTTTCTTGATTGTGTTTCTGGCACATCTGCTAAATATAAGCTAAATAGTAATGGAGAGAGCACTGACCCCTGTGGTAGGCCATTCTTAAGTTTCTTTGGTGGGCTGATATCTGTGCCCATCACTACTTGAAACATTCGATCGTTGAGCATGCTATCTATTACACGTGCCATTTGTTTACAGGGAATTGCACGGAAAATTTTGTATATAAGGCCCTCTCTCCATACTGTATCGTAAGCTGCCGAGAGATCAATAAATGCCGCTGAAGTTTTAAGTCTTCTTTGGAAACCCGCTTCGATGTAGGTGGTGAGTGACATGACCTGGTCCGCGCAGCTTCGTTCTGGTCGAAAACCCGCTTGTTCGATTGGGATCACCTGGAACAGTTCTGTACTGATTATATTATATATAAGCCTCTCTAATAGTTTGTAGATGGCAGAGAGAAGCGCAATTGGTCTGTAGTTTTTTGGGTTGTCAGCGGGTTTGCCTGGCTTTGGTATGGCTATTATCTTAGAGCGCTTTAGTTCTTGAGGGATATTTCCAGTTTCCATGATGTCTGTGAAAAATCGAGCCAACCAAACTTTTGTATACTTGCCACAATTTAGTAGGAATTCAGGGTGAATATTATCAATTCCTCGTGCTTTTGCTGGCTTAACATCTTTTAGAGCCTCTGATATGTCTTCGCTGGTGAAGGGGAGGGAATGCTCCGTTTCTGTGGCTACATGTTTTAAAGTTTTAAGTTCTCTCTTTACGTAGATGGTGTGTGCTTTATCCTTTAGTGTTTTGGATGTTTTTACTATATGTGATGCTATGGCATCTGGCTTTACGGCTGCCTCTTGGCGTTTCGTACGGACACCACTCCCTAATTTTGTTAGTAATGACCATGCCTGCCTGCTTGATTTTTGGAAGTTTTAATTTTCTACTGTTTCGGTCTAGGCTGTACAGTAGTTCATCCGCTATTTCTTGGTCGACAGTTTCAAGAAAGCTCTGATATAGTTCCTCGCTATTTTCCGACCAGCCAGGAACATATTCTTTGCGATATCCTCTTGGTATGTGTTTTTTGGCTACACTTAGTACGGCACCAACAAATCTGTGGTAGTTTTTGATATTCAGGGTAATCCACCCTAGACATTTATCTAGATCCACAGAGAAGTCAATCCGGTTGGCCTTTTTAAAATTCCATCTTAGACGTGGGATAGAACTAATTAAAGGGATTTGCGTTCCTACTTCTATTATTACTGTGTAGCGTTTTATATTTAATGTCTAAATAATAATATAAATTCGATTCTATATAGTACGCCCCTGGTACGCTAGAAATGTGTTGTCTGTAGAGATTTTTAAATACGCAATAATTCTTCAATAAATAAGAGAACAATTTATGGCTTTTTAACTTCAACGTTCCCAGAAAAATATTGCAACCATGGTATTATTTTTTCTAAAGCGCAGTAACGCCGGATGTTTTGAACGAATTTGAGTAAAGAATTTGTTGATTTGACAAGATCGCAATGGTTTTGTGCGGGAAAAGAGAGGGGTTACTATCCGGAGATTGTGATCGAGAGGGTCAGCGAAGGAGTGATGAATAATTGCTCGCAGCGAAAGGTCGTTTTAATTATGATGTGGTAAACCGGCATTTATTCGCCAAAATGGTGGAATTTTCATTCTAAGTAATATGTCGTTTCTGAAAGAGTGACCAGTAACCACTGTTTTTATTTTGGCTGAAGATTTATGATGTTTGAGCAGTGAACAAGTTTAGTTCCTGTTTTGTTTTTCGTTTTTTGAGAAATCCAGTTCTTTTCCGAGATGCCCTTTTCACCTCATGTAGAATAATATTGGAGCATTTTTGATTTGGATGTGCCAGTTTCAGCTTCCAATGAAGCTTTCTGTTGATGTGCAGTTGGATACCCCGCAGAAGTTAGCCAGTTGTTCAAAAGTTTAAGTTAACATGTGTGAACTGAGGTAACATTTACGTTATTAATTTTTAAAGTAAAAATAGACATTTTCTTTTAAAAAGACAAAATTTGCTTTCTTTTATAAATTATTTTAAAAAAAAATTTGTAATTATATTATGTTAGGGCCTGGTTTAAACTGTCATGTCATAATTTTATCCTGTTTTAAAAATGTTTGTTTTGACGTGTGACAGTTTGCTTTTTAATCTATTTTGATTTGTAGTAAAGATTAAATTTTATTCTTTATAAAAGGATATCCATAAAATTTGGCCACATTATCTACTAGGAACCATTTCAGAGAATTTTGTAACCTTTTGTAAACAGATATGTAAGTTTTTTGTCATTTGTATTTGACATATTTTGTCATAATATATATAATATGCCTTCGTTGCTGTAAGTTGTATTGCTTTATAAGCTGTATTTTTGAAAACTGTTTGAGACAATAATAAATGTTAATTTGTTTCTCTTATCTATTTTGAGTTTTATTTGAAAAAGATATTTTTTTTCTATATTTTTGATGTTATACAATTATTTCCCTAGTTACAACTAGTGGTTGTAATAGGTATAATTGGGCACCTCAAGTGGCGCCCTATATTAAATTTCTTGAGGTGTTTCCGTTTATATTCATTCTGTTTGTCCAATAGATTCGTATAAGTACCTTTTATTTCCTTTTTTGTAGTTGCCCCAATCCAAACCCCAATATCTTCAACTTATCCACGACCCAGCTCTCCAACAACCAACTGAGTGTCCGTATGCACTTGTTTCGATTATTTTGTTTGCCCAATCTTGTCCCCCATATTCTTACCCTGTGGTAAGCAAAATAGTTGTTACAATTTTAGCGCCCAACGTGTGTGGCTTGTCTTATGTTTTGCTCCAAATTGTACTTTCGTTACAATTTTGTCGCCCAATCGGTGGGGCATTTGAATATTTCCATTTTTTTTTAGATTTTTGATCCTTTTTCCAGAAGCCACTATCTTTTTCAGTTTCCCCAGTTTTCTGCCATTTATATCAACTTTTTGTTTCCTTTTGAATAAGTGCCCCAATTGTCTCAAACATATTTAATTGTAATATATTAAATATATGTATTTTGTACCAAAATTTATATTTGTGTATATTAACATATGTGTATTGTTTTTTATATGTATTGGTAAGTAAATGAAAGCAAATATTTGAGTTGAATATTTAAATATGAATTTTGATTGAAGTATTGATATTGAAAAGAATTTAAAAAACAGTAGCAAATTATACAGTTACTGTTACATTTATTTTTTTATTGATTTGACAAATTTTACAGAATAATCGGTTTTTGTAATTTTTTATTTGTTCGGTCATTTTAAGTAAATGTTTGTATTTGTTTGAAGGACTTTGTTTGAGCTATGTAGTTGAGAAGTAGTATTATGCAATTTGTCTTCTAATTAACCGTCTCTGAAGGTGTATTTAAATGCCAAAGGTTAATTAAAGTTGTTGTACGAGTAGTCATTGTGAGTCGTAGAGAAGATTCGACAAGTTTAGTCTCAGTAGTAGACTGTGTGTTTATTGTGTATCCTTTCTTGTATCTGAATGACCACAGGTAAATATTTGTGATCAGGAGATGCTGTTTTAGTTTTGACTAGGAGCAGTCTCATTTAGTTTTCGGAACAAGAGTTGGTTTATTTTGGTATCATTTAGTGTAGCTCACTCAAAGGTCAAGTTTTCAATATTATTAGTATTTTGTCTTTCCCTGTATGTACGGTTT